GGGCGATTTTATTTATAATACGGTACGAAGCGACAAGATTAACAATGAAATGTTCGCTTTATCTTGTATCCGTGTATCCCTTCTGTTAGGGACTTTAAGATCCAACGACACTAGGGCAACAAGAACGTCGCTTAAAAAGTGAATTTGCTTGTAGCGACCATTCCTACTCACTTACTTTGTCAATTGCTAAGTCATTGTTGGCGAACCCTTCTGAAGCTGAATTTCAGGGGACCATATTCAAGCCCCAAAAGAAGAAATAAAATTTCGTTGTTGATTGTTTACGTCCTCCCTAAAACGCAAAATTGGGAATTTTCACGTCGTAGTAGTGCAAAAACGGGAAAGAAATGTACAAGATAAGTGTGTTGCGTATGAGAAGTTGTTGTTTTGCTTATAAAACCTATTGTTTTGTTTTGTTTTTTTGACGTCCTCGTTGCTGTCCGCGTCGTTGGATCTTAAAGTCCCTATTATCTTTTGATTTGTTATCACTTTAATTTTTCACATTAATTCATACTGATAATGTTTGAACTAAGAAAGCTGTTTAATTAACAGTGTACATTATTCGGTGATTATTAGCACCAACAATAATCATTACCTAACAAGTTTTGATAGGTTTGAAGTTATGGTAGAGCGTTATGTTCGTTCGGTCCTTTAATTCTCCATGGAAAATACAATTATTTTTAGATGGTTCTGGAAGGCTTTCTGTTGTCTTCAAAAGACCTGCTCAGACGATGATCTGATACTTATTCTCCTAATTGCTTGATTCCTTCTCCAGACTATAAAAACATTCTTCAGTTTCTAAGCAGCTGTTCCCGAACAAGCTCGCTCCGTCTCCTTTATCTTCATAATCAAAGTCAAGTTGTCCATATCTTTCACTTTTCTCAGTTGATATCACTTAAAAAACCATGTTTCACGCCTCTCATCCACAGACACTCTTTTTGCCAGAGTTTAATTTGACCCTTAATTTCACTTCCAAAAGTGACCAAAGTCAAATTTTGGCAAAAGTTCTAACTTTCACTTTGTAAAATGGTGCAAAACAAATAGCTCCATGTTTAAGTACTACCAAAGAGGTTTCGTTTGAACGTAACACCATAGGATTTCGTCCACAGACTCAAAAGTTAGAATCACCTTAGCTTACAGGACTTCGTCATTCATTCCGGTGGTGAAAGAGAAGGAAATACGAGTATCCATATAAGTTCACTTGTCAAGTGACCTCTTAGGCAGGGCTCTATCAAGCGACGCTCTCTTGTCACTATAATTCCACTGCTGTCGCTTCACAAATGCAACCATTTGTGGAGGTTCATCAGGACATAGTCTGTCATTAGCTGAATTTACTGGCAACGGTTTCACGGCCCACCTCGGTCGAGGAGTCGTACTGTTCGCAGCTTTTCGTCCGCAACCTAACGACATTTCAGAGTGCTCGCGGAGATCCCTGTTGTAGGATAATGATTTTGCGCGGATTTGGACAGTCTTTAGATTCTCCTGATTGAGATTAAACGGGCGAACGCGATGTAAGTATCCCATCCTCGTGTGATTCTTCCGTAAGTCTGGCAAAAAAGCTTCGATAAGTTTGTCTCTGTTTTGTTCGCTCATAAGCGTCATGTCGATCTCAGACCGACATGATTTCGTGCGCCTGGAATCCGGCGAATGGATCAATGAATTCCACGACGAACGCGTTCTTTGATTTTTTGAGGGCTCTGATTTTGCCCTAGATTTGGTCTCTGTCCGTGTAGGAGAAAACAAAACGCCGTAATGTCCATCATCCATGTTCATGTTTCACACTGTTGTGTTGGTTGCAGTTTCCACCGTCTGAAAAGCCTTTTGTCTTATATTTCTGTTAATATAAACTCTTATCATTAATACTATACAATATTAACTATCGCTTCACAATCCATCAGGCCAGCTTGTTAGATGATCACCTGAAATTATTAAATGGGACGCAAAAAAGGAACAAATTCTTTTCAACTTTGTGACTGCCAAACACGACTTCAAATTACAGAGACAAAGAAGGTTCTTATACTTGAATGAATTATTAACTATTTCTGGTTGACAACGTTTATGTTTATTGTTTAATGATAACAAATGTGTATTATCAATTCACAAGCCGCAAGTCAATGGAACTAATGTGCTTGTTGCTAAGTTACAGGGACCGCGTTCACTTTTCCAAATCGGCCTGCGAGTTGGGGGAGTAGCGAGAAACCACGCGAGAGTAGCACGCGAAACGAGACGCGAGTGCCAGGGACTCGCGCGCAGGCTACTAAACAATTTTGTTAGCAAAAGCCGACCCAGAAAAGGGTATGTATTCACCACTTCATTTTTGTTTTCTATCTTTATTTTTCCTATCACTATTCCTGCCATAAGGATCAGTTTACTGTTTTAAGTTAAAATTTGGTACTCAAGATTTTACTGATCCAGGTCTACTAAAGATCCGGTGGCCCCTCACTGTCCTCACTGGTTTGTCGTTGTGGTTTTCCCCTAACAAGTGTCTGTAAAACTTTTTTTTTTTTAATATTTATTTATTGACAAAAAAATTAATTACAAATACGTGTTCTTTTAACTATTCAAAACAATTTTCTACTTTCGCAGGGGGCTGAAAATAATATATATCGAGAGAGAGAAAAAAACTAAATTTGTAAAGGGAAGAAGCTAAATTAAAAGGAAGTGTATGTAAAACTGCCATTTCGGTATTTAAAAAAGTAAACGATGATTGTGTATCGCGAGACGCACAAACATATATAACATACAACATTTTATCACTGGTTAAGTGTACTAGTGCATGGTATTTAGCGTCCCTAGTACTCGGGATACGAGTAACAAGGTATTATTTAAAGGCCGGGACTCGGGTTTTTAACGCCAAAATAACAAAATGGGGGCGAGATTCGGGATTGAAAATATGTGCGGGATGTAGCCTGTATACAGCCGCCCCCTAGCTTCCCTCGGAAGGGACCTTTCGAAACTAGGGAGCTTTAGCAACGAAGACGGCGACGGCAACCAGGACGTCAACAAAACAATAGGTTTGTTACGCAAAACAACAACTTTGCACGTGCATCACGCTTTTTTGTACATTTCTTTACCATCCTTGCACGACTACGACGTGAAAATGCCTAATTGCAAGTTTTATGGAGGACGTAAACAAGCGACGACGAAACTCTTTTTCTCTCGCTAAACTTGAGTGCTGTCCTCAAGAAATCAATGCCAGGGAAATTCGCCTACACTTACCATTTTCAGCAAATTGAAAAAACGGGAATTCATTTTAAAACTGACGTCAGTTTCGCGGCCGTTGCCGTCGTCGATGCTAAAGCTCCCTACTTTGACGGCGACGGCAACGGCAACGTCAAAAAGCAATAGGTTCGGTTAGAAAAACAACAACTCTGCACGTACATCACGCTTTTTTGTATATTTCTTTTACCACCCCAGCTCGACTACGACGTGAAATGACCAAATTTTAATTTTAATTTTCTATTTTTCAGCGAGGTTTACATGGACGTCGCCGTTGTCAGATCGTAAGCCCCTGAAAAAACGACTACGGCAACGGCAGCGAAAACGTCTCCCAAAAAGTGAGTTCGCGGTCATCAAACTTCATCGCCCTTATTCCAGCCTCTTTTAATCTGTTAAATGTTAGCGATTTTTTTACAGGAGTTGAATTCTAAAGGACTACGCTGCATCTATAGTAAGTTCACAAAAAGAACTTGAAAATTGGTTTGTGGTGTTCACGTCATAAAATTACGTGAAATTAGGAAGTTTCACGTCGTGGTCGTGTAGTGAAGGCAAAGAAATGTACAAAAAAGCGTGATCACGTGCAAAGCAGTCGTTTTGCCAATCTCAATCTATTGCTTTTTTGCTGTTCTCTTTGTCGTAGCCGTGGCCGTAGCATAAACCCCCCAAAAAATGGAGAAGAGAAGGGGAGGACTGCACAGGCCAACCCACAGGGACGTGGAATTAAGTGAACTTTCGGACGGAATGACGGGATTTTACTGATCCCTGCGGGGGCCCCTCAACATTGGCCAGGACACATGATTTCCCTCAAGTCGGTGCCTGTTAGAGAGGCGCCTATTAATTCTCCAGGAGAGCTTGCATCGGTGAAATTAGGTTAACAAGCAGTCCGTGTGTTTAGAAGCGGAAAACTATTCTATCGGAAATCCCATGACGAAAATACAAAGGAGTCATTGGATTATTGTGGGAATGAGTTGCATTTTGAACTGGTGGCCATGGTCTTATTGGATTCTCGTCTTTTAACACATCTGTTTCATCCTTGTTCCTTAAGTTCACAGATTTGTGCTCGAAGCGAAGAATATCAGCAAAACCTTGCATTACTTTATCGAATTCCCTCCACATCCACTTCTCGTGAGCAGATTGAGTTTGTGCCGTCCTCAAGTTTGATACCTGGTATTCTGAAATCCCTGGACTCACACGAGTTAAACCGCTACCCTGCGATCGTAAACTCCTCTCTGAACCGCACTCAGATACAGAGGCCGAGCTAGTCCTTTTGTTTGATTGGGTAAATGGACTTGCTACTCCAATTTTCGCGCTTGCCATCCGATAGCTGCTTTCTCCTCCTTGACTATTGCCATGATCTTGTTGTTCTCTTTGCCCTGTCTTACCTGTCGTTTCTGAGAGAGCAAAACCCGTTACTATTTTATCGGAAATCGAGCTTATTGGCACCTCATCGTTGACAGTCTTTGGAGGCGTTACATGAAGACTGACCGCCTTTAGTAGAGACGTGGTCATTGAATCTCTTTTTTCTGCCACCGACGGTTTCCATAACAACCCTGTAGCTGTGAGTGTAGTACCCTGATTTCTGGTCAAACAATCTTTTCCAGTCTCTGATGATCTTCTCGTCGAATTCAAATCCGTCACAGATAGTTTTTTCCGTTGACTACTATTCATGCCATGGGTCTTAAGCGTTGATGGCAGGGAGTTTCCAACGGACCATCTTTTTCCCACCATGGACGGCGCCCACGACAACCTCGATATTGTATCCATGGTAAAGCTACCACCATCTTTTCCCGCCAAATGGTCCTTTCCAGCCTTTGACGGTGTTCGGGGCAAAGTTAAGCGTGTAACGGTGAGTTGTTTTTTCTGTTGACTCGGATTTGGGCTGGAATTTTCATTCCCCAGTGGATTTTCTCCATTTTCGACTGATTCGTTAAGTCTTGAATTCTGATTTTCCTGTGTTCTTTCTATCATTATAGGAATTCTCGAGTTTTTCCACCGACTCAGAAGCAAACGACGCGCGCGACGAACTTCTAACAGAAATGTTGGGGCGACTGTCTTGTTGGAACTCCTTAGCAACGCGTCTTCCACTCAAACTTCCTTTACTCCTTGTATCTGCCTTCAACATCTTTCCACTCTCATTAGCACTCTTTGGAGAAGACATCGGTATATCACGTCGATTTCCTCTTCTCTTTTCATCTTCTTTCAAAACAGCGGCACGAGCACGTTCCAATTCGGCTAGCCTCAGCTTTCTTGCCTGTTCAATGCGACTATTTGTTTGGTCTAAGTCGCATTTCAAAAACGAGTTTCTGTACCTCGCGAAATGGGCCTCTCGACGGGTTCTGGGAAATTCGCTGAGATGAAGCTGTCTTGCTTCTCGACGGAAGCGATTTGTAATGAAATCATCGCCGATTAAAAAATTGTCGTCCTCTGAGTAAGCTTCGCGAGCCGTGGTCATCGCTCCCTGATAAATACTTTTTGTAAATGAACAATTTTATAAAGACCGGAAGTAAAAATTCGATGAATATCAGCATCCGCGGCTAATTTCACCAAAAAAAGAATACTTCAACTTTTGGATGCATTAAACTTGTTCCAAGTTCTATAAATTCTCCTCCTTCAATGTTTGTCTGTGTCATGATTCTTATACTTAAGTATATCTTGGAACAAGTAACCCATAGCGATAAAAACCCATTTACTTGTGGTTAGCATGATGAAATAAATAAAATATAAGTGATCAAGGGTAGCCTGAGTACAATAGTACAATCTTTTTACCTCTATAAAATAGTTATAAATAATGTGCTTTTCAGTATCAACCTTTTGATAATTCAATTGGATCCTTGAAAGCACTAGTTTACTAATTGAGAAAAAATATTCATGGCCTAAAATTTTAGGCATTGTATAGCGACGTCCTTGCTTTAACCACAAAATTCAATAGATAAATGCTGCATTGATAAATAAATAATGAAATGATCATCAAAACATTTAGTTGAGCTTAGTTGCAATGGGTCAGTCGGCAATACTATTTTATTGGTTAATTCCCAGCTAGTTTAATATCTGGCGATCATGATGTTTGTAACTAGTGCATACCCAACTGACTGGGAACTGGGTCACTTGGTGTCTACGTCTGAACGATCACGCAACCATGGTAACAGACTCGCACTAAAACAAATTAAGTAAGGTATGAGGGGTTGGTCTAAAGCTTGTCAAATCGGATCTGAGAAGGAACGCTTGTGGAAAGGGAAGTAGGTACCTACACAAACCCTCAGAGGTGGATCCTTAATGGATCCTTCAATTCTCCTCATCATTATCCAGTGAGGATTAGCATATTAAGGCGAAGGAAGGCAACAGTAAAACAGAGATTCGAGTAGCTTACGTGTAGCCGCATCCTCCCCCCGACAAAGGAAAAAAGTTTTTCTTTTTTCGGGGGGGGTGCGGCTACACGTAGGTTACGATTCGCCACATGTGAGGGACTCCAGGTTCCGGAATTTGGGAAATATTTGCTTATTGGAATCCGAAATCCTGGGCTTTGGAATCCCATATGGGAATACAGCTCATAGAATCCGGTAATCCAACAAACGATTAGAATCCGGAATCTAAGTTCCATTGACAAAGAGCGGAATCCAGTACCAGGAATCCGGAATCCACTGCGTAGTGCGTGACTCGAAAAAACAGCTGCGACGGAGACTACTGGTAGGGCTGATCCACGAATTTTTCGAGGTTCAGGTCTTACAATCTAATCTTTTCTACTCTTTCTAGCCATTACATTCTTTTATTTAGTAAATTAGCTACCCCTCAGGGGTCAAAACATCTATTTTTGAGCACTCAGTCATTATTTCTTAGAAACAAACTATTAAAAAAACTCCTTACATGAAGAAAATTCAAGTGAGAAAAAAAAAACATGAACCCATGCTCGGAAACCCCCCAAAAAAATTCATGCAAAGCAGAAACGTCCCCCACCCCTCCCCAGTTTCTCAGTAAGGGTGAAAGACCACAGATCCTAACCGGCCGGCGGCTGAAAGCTCAGTACCAGCAGCAGCCTGCTCCTGGTAGCAGATAACAATCTCTGACAGCTACCACCACCCCTGTTGTCTATCTGTTACTGGCTGTTTTGTAGGAGGGAGAGGAAAGCACCTTATATGGGCTTGTGAATCCACTATGTGCCTATCCCCTCTTACTTTGGGTACTGGTCTGTACCCAGCAGATAACCGCAGAGTTTGTGCAGTGCGTACTCAGTTTCCCGGAGCTTTGCTGGGTTTTGATTTTGTTTTAAGGTTTATTTGATTGACAATTGTGCCGAATTGTAGCAGTAGGTTGAGGATGAAGTACTGACTACAACTGCATGGGCGTCCGACAGCTGTTCATATGCGACCTCAGTATAAAAAGACAACTCCCGCAGCCGTCCAGTCGGTCAATGAAATCAGGAGCCGCTTTTTAGCCAATCTGAGAAAGAATGACGACCCGATGAAGACTTTGGCAGGGACACCGCTGACTCCTAGTCTGTACTGACCTCTCTCCAGGGCTTTTGCCTACACTTCCCATTTTCTAAGGGAAAAAGCCCTGGGATCGAGGTTGCCTATTCACCGAACGCACAACCGCTTTCTTATACACAAGGCCAGTGTAGTTTGAGTCCAAATTGACTAAGTCACGTTTTTTCAGCAGTAACTTGCAGGGGAGAGTCTGTACTATCGGGCTCCTAGTGCTGTTTTGTTACGGATGAGCGCAACCGGCTAATGAACCTCAAAGATTTCATTTCAGTGGTGTCACCCGCAGATTTGTGTTTACCCATTTTATCTTCTGTCGGTTTATTGAAGGGCGGAAAAGAATATTTAGTTTACGGATTAACAAAAATAGGAGCTTTTGTTTTGCAAATTATTAAGCGGGAATCAAAAGGAAAAAACAAAATTAGCCTCGTGAGAAAATTAAGCCAATCGACCATACGTACGAGTGGTGACAATATGAAAATCTGCCTCAAAGTAAGTTTAGCAAATTATGTCGCGTTTCGATTGATTTTGTGCGGTTCTTGCAGCTTTTATGATAAAATTGTTGGGTGAACGTAGTGCAAGCTGTGGTCCCAGTTGGTATTTTTCCGATTAATTGTTATTTTTAATAATTGCTAAAAGTTTGGATTGAAGTAAAATAGATTTACACATAAGGAGTCGATCTTAAGAGTGGAAGAAACAGCGTAACTCTACAATAACAATTTACTGAATTGAAAAATTGCACCTCGAATACCAAATAAATACAATAAAGAACGAAAAGAAAGTTAATACTGCCTACTTCGGTATGGTGCATTTGTGTTAAGTTCCCAATATTACTGGTGTAATATTGATAGTAAACCACATATTGCGAGAAAGAAGAAAAGATGCGAAATATAATTATATTTCGTCCAGTTTTAAATACGGAGCAATATTAGCGCGGTGAAAACCTAAGCAAACATTAACTATTCAAACATGAGCGGCCTTCAAAACAATTTGCTGAAAAGAGATGAAAACAAACTAACGCAAATTTCATTTCCAAGGCAAACTTTTCTTGACATTTCGACAAGGGTCAGTAATTTTGGGTGCATATGTTTGACATGGGATCCTGTTCAAGTTGCATTAAAGCAGACTTTGATACTTCAAAAAATTAAGGCAACTTTTTTATCCTACCGATCACGATTCACATGTCGTTTAAAATTCCACAAAAGAGACAGGCAAAATTCAAAGAAAATTGATTTATTATTTTTTAAAATATACATGAATATTGATTTCCGTACAGGGAGATTCAATGGATAAAACCCCTCCTTAACCATCTCTTCGAAAACATATTTTAAACTGTTTTGCATAGGAAACGAATCAATATGTTTTATCTTCTTTCGTTTTATACACCAGATAAAAATATACAGCAAGCCAGAAAAGGTTGATTATTTCGCTACAAAAATCATGGCTGTTATAAGTAGATATAATATTCCCAAAACAAAAAACTAAATATTATTATTTTATGACTCACCAATGAACATGAATTATTTTTAAACTGAAAAATCCAAAAACAATTTTGCAACCAGAAACGTGTTCTCGCAGGTGAATATACAATAGTTTACATCATCCTATATAAATAGATGGTCAGTTTAGAATACATGTATTATTTAAAATTCCAAATATGAAATTTATAATAACAAAACTTTTTACAAAGATTTAAGGCAATCACAGGGAGGAAACTATTACAATATTTGCAATATATCCACGATAAATTCAAAATATATATATCAACATCTTGAGTTAAACATGTCGAGTGTTCTTATACACTTGAATGGTTTTCTGAGCGACAAAGTGAAGGCAATGTAAATTTTCATCTAAATCGACGCTGTATGCATAATTTAAATCTTGGTAATACCCCAATTTTTTAACGAACCTTACTTAATGTACGTATTTTTCTAAGAAACTTGGTAGAATGTGCTTTTTCAATTTCCTCTCTTTTCGAGGGATATTTTCACGTTTCTCCGCGTTGCCGATTTTCTCTTTGTCACTAGACGCTGTTGTAGGCTGGCGCTCTTCTGAAAGCCTCCGCGAAGAGTTTGGTTGAGGCGGTGTAGCCGAGGTAACCCAAGTTTCAAATGAAGGGTATCTATTGCCGCTTGATGATGGTATACTTAGTGAATGACTTCGTGGATATTGTTGTTCTTCGCGAGCGGAAATAAAATACGATGCATTTTCACCAAAGGTTACGGTCTTACGCCTTGCAGGATCTCGGCGATTTCTCGGTTGCCTCCGTTGATACCGATCTGGGGACCCAAAGGCCGAGTTTTCCCCCCATTCCGACCGGTTCTCTAATTTCGCACTGTATTCGTGTCGCGTTCCCGTGAAAGAGTGACTTTTGGTTAATGTACTGTGCGAAACAACCGGCTCCACTCGTCGAGTGTAAATTAGTTCCCCTTGGTCGGGTGTCTGGTCGCGGTTACAATCGGTAATGTAGTAATCAGAGATTTGTTCCGATCGTTCTTCATTAAAGCTTGAGGTTTTGAAGTATCGACTGGGATATCTCGATTCAAAACCACTGTCATGGCTATAACTAGAGTCTTCAGATACTCCAGAATCTGTGGATGTACTCGAAATTGAATAACGCCAGCCAGGAACATTTTTAAACCCATAGCTATCCTCACAACCTTGAGCAAGAGAGCATTTCTGTTTGAAATTCTCTGAGAGCATTGCTTGCGACAGCAAAGCTCGAATTTGCTCGTTCTTGGCAACATCCACCGGTTTTTCGCCATTGCTATTTCTAGCGTTAACATCAGCGCAAGCTGAATTCACTAGCAAGCTCACAACGTCCAAATGTCCTCGCTCAGCGGCGAGGTGAAGCGCAGAGCGGCCATTTGAATCCACAGTTTTCAGGTCCGCACCACGCTCGAGAAGAAAGTTAGCCAGGCTCAAGTTGCCATCAATACAAGCTTGTTGTAGAGCGGTTAAGCCATATTTATTTGGC